TGCCGGCGGTCAGCTGCAGCTTCGTCCCCTTCTTGAGCTGACGTGCCTTCATCTGCTCTTCCTCCACGATGTTGACCTCCTTCGGCTCGATGTCGTTCTTGATGTCCAGCGTGACCGAGTTGCCGAAAACACACTCGGAGCAGAACCCGAGGTGGCAACAGTCTGTGTAGGACTTGGTGCCGCAGGCCACGCAGTCGTCGAGGGACTAAGCGATGCAGGTAGTAGGCGAAATCGCTGTTGTAGCAAACGTCGGCGGCGCGACCGCCGTCGAACAGCAGACCAACGCAGAGCTCACGGCGGCCATGAGCCTTGAGCTGCCACCGCGTCGCTGTTGAAGTCGCCTCGGTACGTTGAGCTCCTTCTTGGGGATGAGCCTCGTGATGTTCTCGAGCAGGTTGCTCGCCTTCGTAGTGAGGTTGACCGTGGGCTTCGGGGCTGGCTTCTTGGCGATGGCCTTGGTACCGACAGCCTTCGGTCCGAACTCGTGGCCCGCGCCCTTGATGGCGAGCCAGTCCTCCGGGTGGAGGTCGATCGCGGGATGTCCCGCGCTGCTCGTGATGAGCTTCTGGGAATGGTTCCCGATGCGGATCTGCTCCCTCCAGAGCGAGATGTCGATCTTGCTCGGCTGGATGAAGTCCCGGCCGATGAGCAGGCCGAGCGTGGGGCTATCCACGACGCTGAACACTATGCGGCCATCGCGTCCGCACAGCACGAGTGGGGCTGTGACGCGCAGCTTGCTCGGGAGCGTGCCGCCGTTCCCGAATTTGTAGACTTCGTTCTCGGGCTCCTCCAGGATCTGGTCGGCCAGACCCATCTTGGTGAGCTTCTCCTTGTACTGCTTGTACCAGCTGAGCCCGCCAACGCAGAACAGGCAGGCAGTGTCGATCACGCCGACACCGTCGTCGTTGGGCTTCTCGCCGGCGTTGGTGGCGTTTACGGTGGGCAAGTCGGGCACCACGCGCTCGGAGACCAGGGTCTCGGGTGGCGGAGTGACCAGACCTTCTGGATGAAGAATCACCTCCTCGTCGCCGAACTCCACGTGGTTCTGATCGTGGACCTGCTCGGTGATGTTGGCCCGGCGGTGCGAGCGACCTCCGCCGCCTCGTCCTCCGCCCTTCTGCTTGGCATTCGGGGCGAACTTCCGAGCGCCTGGTGTCGGGCACTCCTTGTCACCGGTCCAGTGCCCCGCCTCGCCGCAGTCCCAGCACTTGGAGTTCTTCTTGCGTTGGTCCACGCGGCCCTGTAGCTTGCCCGCGGGTCGGCGCTTGGGCGATGCCTTCCCGCGGCCCTTGATGGCCTCCCGGGCCGACCGTATGGTCGCCATGGCTTCGGGAATCGCGGCGAGCTCCGCCGCGGCGGCCTCCACCTTGGCAGAGTCGTCCCTGTCGAACACCTCGCCGAGGTCGTAGTTGGACTGCTCCAGCTCGGCGCTGAAAGCCTCGAGCTCCTGGCGAACGATGTCCTGGACGTCTGCCTCCGTGTCGTTGTCATCGCCGTCCTCCGAGTCCTCGTGCTCGTCCTCTGGCTCGTCGGCGACGTTGGCTGAACGCGCTCGGCTTGGCGATGAGCGCTGCCAACTACTGTTTGATCGCTGCGGCCACGGTCGTGACGGCAAGCTGGCATGCCGTTCCGACGTATGGATATCAGGAAACATGCGCACCAGCAGGCCCCTGATGCGCTGAAATGAGTAATGCTCGTCCGGCAAGTTGCCTACGACGCGCTCCCGGCGCTCGGCCGTGAGCCGAGCCTTGCGCAGCAGGAACCAGCCGGCCACGTCGTCAAGCGTAGTGAGGTCCACCTCGTTCTTGCGTAGTTGTTGTAGTCCCGCTTCGAATCGCACGAGCCAGTCCGTCATGCGTTCTCCACGGCGGCGATGATGCTGAGTCGACTCGAAAAACTTCTCTAGCGTCTCTCCCTTCTGTGCCGGCTTCTGCTGGCCTAGGTTTGTCTCGAGATGCTTCAGCACATTCTCGATGCCCTTCTGGTTCCGATCGCGCTTCCTCTAATTTGCCTCCTCAATGTCGGCGTCCGGCGGCGGGTGGAGTTCCTGCTCCGTCATGTTGAGTGCAGCCGATCTGGCGGTGCCCGTCAACCTCAAGACTAACTTCGATGCCAAGCTTTGTGTCACTTCCAGGTTCTCGCTGAGCTTCCACAATTTAACTTCTTGCTTGTAATCTCGCCACTTCGCTGGATCTCCATTCCAGCTTGGTATCACTGACTGGTTATGATTGAACTCCGTCATTTTGTCTACGAATGAACTGTAAGGAATACCAAAATACGAAATGGAATTGAAATCAAACTCGATGCCGTAATCGATGTCGGCGCCTGCCGTGTCGATAAGCTGGTAGGGGATGTAGGCGTTGGGCTTGTCGCTGTCGCTGACGGCGCTGATGCTGAAGATGTCGGCGCTTGCCGATGTAGAAGATAGGCTGTAGGGGATCTCGGCGCTTGCCGATGTTGAGGGTAGGGTTCCGGTGAAGTCGCTTACGTCACTGGTGCTGTCGCATACGGTGTTGAACTTGTAGAGGCAGGTGCTGGCGTCGCTGACGCTGTCGCTGAACTCGTAGGGGTAGGCGCTGGCGTCGCAGACGCTGGCGTGGGAGAAGGTGTTCGGGATGTCGGCGCTTGCCGAGGCAGAGAGCTGGCAGGGGATGTAGGCGTTGGGCTCTGCGCTGTCGCTGACGGCGCTGATCACGAACGTGAAGATGAACACCGCGCGGCGGCAGAGCTGGACGGCGCTGGCCGTCGATTCCGTGGGCAGACGAGTCGCAGACGTCGTCGTGGAATATGAAAGGCCCGAAGGCCGGGGCAGCGAGCCTCGCTCCAAGCTGCCACTGTGATATGGAAGACCCGCAGGGTCGGATATCGCTGATATCGTTTTGTCGAATGATCGCGCGGCGAATCAATCTGCGTAGCTCTAAGGCCAAGGGCCCTAGTATAAATTTCGAACCGAAACAGGCAGCGGGAGAAAGGGTGAGAGCAGCAAGAGCAGGGGCAGGAAAGGATCGGGGAGTGAGCGGAAATCACAGACCCCGCGGATCTGCGTGAGGGGTGGCGCCGAATTTCAGAAATGTGGCAAATCCCCTGTGTTTTTGGACCCTGACCCCGCGGATCTGCGTGAGGGGTGGCACCGAATTTCAGAAATGTGGCAAATCCCTTGTGTTTTTGGACCCTGACCCCGCGGATCTGCGTGAGGGGTGGCACCGAATTTCAGAAATGTGGCAAATCCCATGTGTTTTTGGACCCTGACCCCGCGGATCTGCGTGAGGGGTGGCACCGAATTTCAGAAATGTGGCAAATCCCATGTGTTTTTGGACCCTGACCCCGCGGATCTGCGTGAGGGGTGGCACCGAATTTCAGAAATGTGGCAAATCCCCTGTGTTTTTGGACCCTGACCCCGCGGATCTGCGTGAGGGGTGGCACCGAATTTCAGAAATGTGGCAAATCCCCTGTGTTTTTGGACCCTGACCCCGCGGATCTGCGTGAGGGGTGGCACCGAATTTCAGAAATGTGGCAAATCCCCTGTGTTTTTGGACCCTGACCCCGCGGATCTGCGTGAGGGGTGGCACCGAATTTCAGAAATGTGGCAAATCCCTGTGTTTTTGGACCCTGACCCCGCGGATCTGCGTGAGGGGTGGCACCGAATTTCAGAAATGTGGCAAACCCGTTGTGTTTTTGGACCCTGATCTGCGTGAGGGGTGGCACCGAATTTCAGAAATGTGGCAAACCCGTTGTGTTTTTGGACCCTGACCCCGCAGATCTGCGTGAGGGGTGGCGCCGAATTTCAGAAATGTGGCAAATCCCTTGTGTTTTTGGACCCTGACCCCGCGGATCTGCGTGAGGGGTGGCACCGAATTTCAGAAATGTGGCAAATCCCTTGTGTTTTTTGACCCTGACCCTGCGGATCTGCGTGAGGGGTGGCACCGAATTTCAGAAATGTTGCAAATCCCTTGTTTTTTTGCAAATCCCTTGTTTTTTTGGACCCTGACCCCGCGGATCTGCGTGAGGGGTGGCACCGAATTTCAAAAATGTGGCAAATCCCATGTGTTTTTGGACCCTGACCCCGCGGATCTGCGTGAGGGGTGGCACCGAATTTCAAACATGTGGCAAATCCCATGTGTTTTTGGACCCTGACCCCGCGGATCTGCGTGAGGGGTGGCGCCGAATTTCAGAAATGTGGCAAATCCCCTGTGTTTTTGGACCCTGACTCCGCGGATCTGCGTGAGGGGTGTCGATTTCGAGCCCCCCCAGCAATTCAGACAACGCGCCCAGGAGACGCTAAAATGCCACTTTGGGCCCCCCCCCCTCGCGCGGTCAATCAACTAGTTAGAGTAACCAGCAATAAGTCAACTAGTTACAGTAACCAGCAAGAAGCAGAACTGTAACACTGGAAACTACAGGCTACAACTGGTACAGGAAACTGCGAACCTCGCTCCTACAGCCTGGTGGCCCCACAAGGGGGCCGGCGGATCATGTTGCCCCGCTTTGTCAACGTCGTCTTCTCATTTGGTGTCTTTCCTGGGGAATCGACGGTGAGATAATATCAGTGGGTTGCGTGTTCTCTTCGCGGTGCTGGATTTCTCCGCCGTGACGCAGGCCTTCAGCGTCCGTTCTGGACGACTCTGGTGTCTTCGAGCGGAGCTCTCGGCGAGGCGCGGCCGATAGGGATGCTCCCCAGCGCCCCAAAAACGCTTGAGAGTTTTCTGTGAGATTCCGAATTCTTGACGCATCGCATTTCCCCACCAGCCCATCCAGAAACGATGCCCAGTAGAGCTGTCTGAGGAGGGGTGCAGGTAAGCATAAACAGATCGTGGGCTTTCGCAGTGTCCACGACGGTCCAAGAGACTTCCAAGACGGCCCAGGAGGCCCCTAAGAGAGCTCCAGGACGGCCCAAGGAGGGCTCAAGACGGCCCAGGAGGACCCCAAGATGGCCCAAGCGAGCCCCAGGACGGGCCCAAGGGGGTTCCCAGAGGGGGAGAACTAACTTAAAACATTTCGAGCCTTGGCCCAAGAGGCCCCCAGGAAGCCCCAAGAGGCTCCCAAGAGGCTCCGTAGCCATTTTGGCTCAAGTTCAGGCTCAAAGTTGCCACGAGGGGACCCATCGCTATCCCGTGTCTACCCAACATCGTGGATCGGGAAGGCTTCAAGGCATCATGACCACCATTGACGAGTATCAGATGGAACGTCCGATGGAACTTTTCAAAGGCCTCATGACCATCATGGAGGAGAAGATCGACGTTCTGGAAAAGAAGGTCATCCAGCTTACCTTCGAAGTTGACAACCTCAAGAAGGAGAAGGTCGACAAGTTCTCGCTGCAGCATGTGGAACACTTTCGCGAGGCCACCGACAAGTATGGCTTGACAACCAGCCTCGCGGCCAAGTGTGCACACTTTGAGATCATGGAAGGTAAATTGACCAAGCTCTTTACTGACTTCGAGGCGAAGCTCGTGGCTAATGCGGCTGAGCAGTTGAAGCTCTTGAACGACAGTGGACTTGCGTTCGCCCTCCAGAAGACTTCTTTCGAGAATGACTTCGAAAAGGCGATCCATGACCGTACAATCGAAGCCCTTGCCCGTTTCTCCGCACAGACAAACCTTGAGACCACAGTAAATGAGCAGGCAAATGCGTTTATGCGGCGTGTTCAGGGGGAGCTCGAGACCACGCTAAATGAGCGTATGAGGCGCCCCTTTATCATCGAGAATGTGAAAACTCAGCGTAGTTTGTTCACTCATGTTGACCCAGATTGCGACCGCAATGGGGGCAAGAACGGCTTTGGAGCCGTCAAGCAGAAGAAGTGGAAAAACAACCCAGATCAGCAGTGGAGGCTCATCCCAGCTCGTCGGGTGCAGTTCGCATGGTGAGACGGGGTCTTAGGTTTCGTTGGTTTTGTACTATTCCACAACAGAGCATCCTGGCACCCGTTAAAGGGATGCGGTTAAGTAGCAGAAGGAAAAAAAAGAAGAGGCCCCAAAGGGGCCCCCAGGAGGCCTCCAAGAGGCCCCAAGAGGCCCCCAAGGAGCACCCAGGAGACCCCCAGCATGCCCCAAACGGGCCTCTGAGAGACGTCCCAATAAACCTTAATGCACATCTGCGAGAGGCCTCTGGTCCACAACCTAGGCCCGTTCTGGGGCGCCGCCTGATCGGCACAGGCTTTGTTTCATGTGTCGTCTGTCTGTCTGTCTGTATGCATGCATGTATGTGTATATGTATGTATCTCTGTATACACGCATGCATGCATGCATGTATGCATGTATGTAGGTAGGTATGCATGCATGCGTGCGTGCATGCATCCATGCATGCATGCATGTATGCATGTATGTACATATGTAGGTACACACATGTACATATATGCATGCTTCTGCATGCTATATTATGCTATGCCATGATATGTGACGTTATGTTATGGTATGTTATTGTATGACATGTAGGTGCGGCTGTATGTATGCACGTCTGTCTGTATGTACGTCGGTAGATATGGATGCATGCATGTACGCACGTATATATGCATGTATGCATGTATGTATACAGTATGCATGTATGTATACATGTGTGTATGTATTTATATGCATATATGTATATATATATATATATATATATATATATATATATATAGATGTGTGTGTGTGTGCTCGTGTGTATGAATATATAGATGTCGGTACCCATGTATGTATGTATGTATGTATGTATGAATGTATGCACACATGTATACATGTATGTATGTATGTATGTGTGTATGCATGTGTGCATGTATGTATGTATGTATGTATGTATGTATGTATGTATGTATGTATGTATGTATGTTTGCATGTATATATGTATGTGTGTATGTATGTCTGTATGCATGTGTGTATGTGTATGTATGTATGCATGCATGCATGCATGCATGTAGGTATGCATGTATGTATGTATGTGTGTCTGTATGTATGTATGCATGCATGCATGCATGCATGCATGCATGCATGCATGCATGTATGTATGCATGCATGCATGCATGTATGTATGTATGTATGTATGTATGTACGTATGTATGTTTGTATGTCTGTATGTCTGTCTGTCTGTCTGTCTGTCTGTATGTTTGTTTGTATGTTTGTATGTATGTATGTATGTATGTTTGCATGTATGTATGTATGTGTGTATGTATGTCTGTATGCATGTGTGTATGTGTATGTATGTATGTATGCATGCATGCATGCATGCATGCATGTAGGTATGCATGTATGTATGTATGTATGTATGTATGTATGTATGTATGTATGTATGTATGTATGTATGTGTGTATGTACGTATGTATGTTTGTATGTCTGTATGTCTGTCTGTCTGTCTGTCTGTCTGTCTGTCTGTCTGTCTGTCTGTCTGTCTGTATGTTTGTATGTATGTATGTATGTATGTATGTATGTATGTGTCTGTATGTATGTTTGTATGCATGTATGCATGCATGCATGTATGCATGTATGTATGTCCCCAGGCACGAGGCCCGGGCGCCTGGGGCCCGGACCTCGAGCTCGCGTGGGGGGACTGGGGCCTCCGAGACCGCTCCCAGAGCACCCCGGAGGGGCCGTGGAGCCCCCAGACTGCCCCAGAGAGCTCCGAGACGCAAGAGGCCTTCAAGAGGCCTTCAAGAGGCCTCAAGAGACCGAGAGGCGTTCCTAGAGAGCTCGAAGAGACCCAAATCCTTGATTTCCATTGGTTTTATCGATGTTTTTCGGTTACTTGCGTTTTCGACCTTCCGACGCTCCAAGACGGCCGACGACGGCCCCAAGACCGCCCCAAGACCGCCGACGAGGCCTCCAACAGAGCCCCAAGACGGCCCCAGGGAGCCCGAAAAATGCCTTGGAGGAGCCTCAGACGGCCCAAGAGAGCCCCAGGACAGGCCCAAGCTGGGCCACAGAACGGGAGCGGGCGGCCCCAAGGCGCTCCAAGACGGCCCAGATGGCCCCAACGTGGCCCACATGGGCCCAACACGGCAAATAAACAGCCCAAGAGGACTCCAGGAGGCCCCAATAAAGTTCCGAGAGGCATCCCGAGAGAGCCCGAAGAGGCCCAAATCCTAGATTTTCCTTAGTTTTTCCCCACGTGCTTGGTGGGACTCTTGTTTTCTTCCCACCCGCGGCGCACCCGCGTCTCACTCACACACTCACACACTCACCTCCCTCCCTCCTCCCTCCTCACCTCTTCTTCCTCTCTCGCCTCGTCCAAGTGCAACACATGCACGGCACGCACACACTAATACACCAACACACACACACACTTTAACCCACACGCGCACACACGCACACACAACGCACACAACACACACACACACACGCAACACACAACACACAACACACAACACACGTAACACACAGCACACATACAACACAACACTCGCAGCACAACACACAACACACAAAACACAACATACAACACACGACACACAATACACACAACATACAAAATATACAACACGCAACACACAACACACACAACACACAACACACACACACACACCACACACAACGCACACACATACACACACTCACACACACATAAACACACATACACACGCTGGCACAGGCACATGCACAGGCACAGGCACAGGCGCAGGCGCAAGCACAGGCACAGGCACAGGCAGAGGCACAACCGTATTGACGTGGAGCTGCATGATGGCGGACTTGACGGTCCGTTCCCCCGCTGCTGTTCATGATGGATCCTCGGGGGCCGCTGGAGCCGGTACCGTCCTTCTAGCGGCTCTCCTTCTTGCTGGTCCGGTAGGGTTCGCTTCGCTGTGTGTCGACTTGTTCGGCTTGCGAAGCTGCTTGACCAGCGCCGTGACGAGCTCGTTGGTGTAGTTCTCGCTGTCTTTGGCGAGTCGGCCACGGGCCTCGACGTGCTTGTGCATGCCATCGCAAAACTTGCGCAGCGAGTTGTCGATTCCGTAATGGTCGGTGATGATCCTCCACGGCTTCTTGATCGGGTCCCTCATCTTGGTGTTGAGATTGTAGGCACAGCCGTCGAAGTCAATGACGCGCGGGTGCTGCCTCTTCAGCGCGTCTGCGGTGTAGTTCTTCGTCTGGTCCCAGCCGTCGCAGTAGCGAGGCCACTCGAACGAGACCGCGAGCTGGTTGCCGAACTCCTTGCGAAGGCGGCTCATTGACGACTTCAGGAACAGGTCGGTCATCTTCGCGGAGTGGCTCCTGTCTGCTTGCAGCTGCGCAGCCTTGTTGGGGTCGATCTTGAGGATGAGGCGCTGCAATGCAGTGCATGGTGTACACGGAAAGGCGGCGTGTATTCGAACGCTCTTCCCCCTTTGTAGGTCTTTCCTGATCTTGCCCTCTAGCTTGTTCACTACAACCCTTCGAGAGAGACCGTAACCTTGAAGTCCACAGCGAACAGCAGCTCCTCCATTCATCTTCCACATGGCGCTGAGCTTGCTGTCGGGGTTGCAGCACCACTCGTAGAGGGTGGTCGCATTGTAGTTCGAGACTGGGCTCGGACGCGTAGCTGACTTTGCCAAGTCGGTCTTCCTGGCTGGCCCTGTGCGGCAGGATGCCGCTCTTGTTAGTCACGATGGTCGATCGTTTGCCGGCGATGAGTTATTTCTTCGTCCCCTTGTTGAGGTTTCGCATTGTCATTTGCTCCTTCTCTACGATGTTGACCTCCTTCGGCTTGCTATCGTTGTCGATATCTAGCGTGACTGGGTGGCTGAACACGCACTCGGAGCAGAACCCGAGGTGCAGGCACTCTTCGTGGGGCTTGACGCCGCAGGCCACACAGTCATTCATGGGGTCGACGATGCAAGTGGTCGTCGGCTCCAGGGGTGCCGTAAACGTAGGCGGCGTCGCTGTCGTAAAGCAGCAGGTCAGAGCAGATGCCAAGGCGGCCGTAAGCCGTTACCCGGCGACTCGACGCGGCTGAAGTCGCCTCGGTACGTTCAACTCCTTCTTGGGGATGAGCTTCATGATGGACTCGACCAGGGAGTCCGCCTTGGTCGTCGTATTCGGCGTAGGTAGCGAGATCGTCTTGTCGTTGTTGGCGGCCTTGGGTTCGGCGGTCTTCGGGCCGAACACGTGGCCCGCATCCGTGATGGCGAGCCACTCCTCCGGATGGAGATAAATCGCGGGATGCCCCGCGCTGCTGGTGATGAGCTTCTGGGAGTGGGTCCCGATACGTATCTGCTCCTTCCAGAGCGAGACGTTTATCTTGGACGGCTGGATGAAGTCCCGGCCGATCAGCAGGCCGAGTGTGGGGCTGTCCACGACGGTGAACACGATACGGCCAGCGCGACCGCATAGCACGAGCGGGGCGGTGACGCGCAGCTTGCTCAGGAGCGTGCCGCCGTTCCCGAACCTGTAGACTTCGTCCTCGGGCTCCTCCAGGATTTGGTCGGCGAGCCCCATCTGGACGAGCCTGTTCTTGTATTTCTTATACCACCCGAGCCCACCAACACAGAGCAGGCAGGCGGTGTCAATCACCCCGATCCCGTCGTCGTTGGGCGTCTCGCCAGTCTCGGTGGCGTTCACGGTGGGTAATTCGGGCACCACGCGCTCGGAGACCAGCGTCTCGGGTGGTGGAGTGACCAGGCCTTCTGGATGTAGTATAAACTCCTCGTCGCCGAATTCCACGTGGTTCTGGTCGGTGACCTGCTCGGTGATGTTGGCCTAGCGGTGCGAGCGGCCTGCGACCCCTCGTCCTCCGCCCTTCTGCTTGTCCTTGGGGGCGTACTTGCGGGCGCCTGGTGATGGGCACTCCTTGTCGCCCGTCCAGTGCCCCTTCTCGCCGCAGTCCCAGCACTGCGAGGTCTTCTTGCGCTGGTCCACGCGGCCTTGGAGGTTCCTGCCAGCGGGTCGGATCTTCGGCGCGCCCTTCCCGCGGCCTTCGATGGCCTCCCGGGCCGACCGAATGGTTGCCATGGCCTCGGGAATCGCGGCGAGTCGTTCCGCGGCGGCCTCCACTTTGGCGGAGTCGTCGCCATCGAACACCTCGCCGAGGGCGAAGTTGGACTGCTCCAGCTCGGCGCTGAAGGCTTCGAGCTCCTGGCGAACGATGTCCTGGACGTCAGCCTCGGTGTCGCCGTCGTCCTCCGACTCGTCCCTGTCGTCCTCGGGCTCGTCGACGACGTTCGCTGAACGAGCTCGGCTCGGTGACGAATGCTGCCAACTGCTGTTGGAGCGCTGCGGCCAGGGCCGCGACGGCATACTGGCGGTTCGCTTGGACGAGTGGATGTCCGGGAACATTCGTACGAGTAGTCCTCGGATTCGCTGGAACGAGTAGTGTTCATCCGGCATGTTGCCCACGACGCGTTCACGTCGTTCTGCTGTGAGTCCTGTTTTACGTAGTATAGAACAACTGGCGACGTCGTCCACCGTGGTGAGGTCCACCTCGTTCTCGCGAAGCTGTTGAAGACCAGCCTCGAAACGTACGAGCCAATCTGTCATGCATTCTCCCCTTCTGCGGTGATGCTATATCGATTCGAAGAATTTCTCGAGCGTCTCTCCCTTCTGCACAGGTTTTTGTTGTCTGAGGTTTGCCTCGAGATGCTTGAGCACGTTCTCGATTCCCTTCCGGTTCTGATATCGCTTCCTGTCGGCGGGCTCCTCGAAGTCCTCTTCGGCCGGCGGGTGTAGATCTTCTTCAGACATGTTGAGCGCGGCCGAACGTGCCGTACCTGTGAGCTGGAGGACTAACTTCGATGCACGGCTTTGTGTCACTCCAAGATTCTCGCTAAGCTTCCACAACTTCACTTCATGTTTGTAATCTCGCGACTTCGCAGGATCTCCGTTCCAACTTGGTATGACTGACTGATTGTAATGTTGTTCCGTCATCTTTGCACTGAAAGCCGAAATAAGATATTCGCGAATGTCCGCAATGAGAAGAAAGATAACCGATGCGATACTGAGCTTGTCGAGAGAGATGTCGGCGCTTGCCGGGTCGAAGGGCTGGTAGGTTGTGCCGCTGACACTCGTGTGGCATTTGGCGTCGCTGACGCTGTTCACGAAGATGAGGTAAGAGATGAAGTCGCTTTCGGCGCTTGTCGTGTAGGAGAGCTGGTAGGTTGTGGTGTCGATGACGCTCACGTTGCACTTGTCGTCGCTGACGCTATTCACGAAGGTGAGGTGGGGGATGAAATCGCTGTCGGCGCTTGCCGGTGCGGAGAGCTGGTAGGTGGTGATGTCGCTGACACTCACGTTGGGCTCGGCGTCGCAGACGCTGAAGATGTAGAGCACTGCGTAGCAGAGCAACAGGACCGCGCTGGCCGTCGATTCCGTGGGCGGACGCGTCGCAGACGTCGTCGTGGAATACGCACGGCCCGAAGGCCGGGGCAGCGAGCCTCGCTCCAAGCCACCACTGGGATATGGACGGGCGCGCGGCTCCAATACATCTTTTACTCTCTCACGCGGTGAGGCGAGGCGTAGCTCTCAGGCCAAGGGCCCAGCATAATAAAATTGAACCGAGAAGGCAGCGGGAGGAAAGGGTGAGAGCAGCAAGAGCAAGGGCAGGGAAGAAGCGGGGATCTCGGCCTCTGCGGGGCCTCTATCTGTCTGACAGGGTGACTCGGCCCCTCCTGCAAACCCTCGGGAGTGAGCTTGAATCACACCCAACAGGGCCACCTGCCGATGCCCCTCCAGGTCCAGACCTGAGGTAGGGGACCATGGGGGAGGGGTCAAGCTACCCTCTGGAAGGCGCAAGCCGTCTCGCTCACTCCCACCCGTTCCCCCACCGCTTAGGCAACATTCGAGCTTGGGGCTCCGATGCCAAATAATTGCTCATGAGGTGGGGTCCACCTCAAGCGATTTGTCGAGCATTCGTTGACAAGGGTGGCTTCCTCCAGAGGGCACAGTGCGCGGACTCCGATAATGGCTCAGAAGGTGGGATCCCCCTCAAGCGAGTTGCCGAACATCCGTCGAAAAGTGTGGCCTCCTCCAGAGAGCCCACGGCACGGGCACCGACCGACAAAACGCGTTTCCGTTAGAACCTTGCGCCCGGACACTATCAGGGGCTAGGTTTTACTGCAAAGTGTATGCGAGCACAACCGCCGATTCTGTCAACAAACGTTGCAACGTGATCGCGGGGTGCCCGCGCATGATCCAGATTTTGCCGCAACATGTAGTTGGCAAGGCTCATTGATAGGGATCATGGGCTTGCGCGCAGCAGGCAATATGCTGACACCCCCGCCGTCCCTATCAAAAACGAATGTGAAGTGATCGCGGGGTGCCCGCGCATGATCCAGATTTCACCGCAAAGAGTATTTTGCGTTGTTCTTTGGCAGAAATGGTGTGTGTGTGTGGGGGTCCGTCATGGTTCCAAGGTTTGCCCCGGGTCTGGTGGGGGAATGGAGTGTATATTAATGAGGAGCAGTGGCCAAAGAGAAGATATTTTACACCACCGCCGCCTAGAAGGCTGGTGGGATTCCAGCAATACCTCTGGAAAGTTCGTCGAGGCGCCCAAATCGGAGATTGCCAGAGACGGTTGTGGCCGAAGGTGGTTCCAGCTTCCAGCTTCCACTTCGGGGCCCCCAGGGGGCCTTCTGGGCTTCGTCAGGGGTGCTCTGGAGGTTGTCTGGGCCTCCACGGAGCAGTGGAGCAGCTGGGTCACCCTCTGGGCCAGCAACACCCGACCGCAAGGCGCGCGCGGGGGCGGGGGGCAGGGCGCTCTCTGCACCCGCCGCGTGGTCGGGGTGCTCCTGCGGCCGCAGGCGCTCGACGTCAGGGACCACCAGCCGACCGTCCAGTGGGTCGCCCGCCTGCCGCCCCCCCCCCTCACCCCAGGCCCTCGCCTCCGCTCCTCCCCTGCCAGAAGTTCGGGGGCACCCAGTCCCCTGTCAGACGTACAATGCCCCAGGTCGTCCGCGGAGGCGCGAAGGTAATCGCGCTTCGTGCGCCGCGGCCTTGGCGGAAGAGCCGTCCTTCCGCGGGGGGGACGGGGCGGCTTGAGGGCACGAAGATAGCCGCGCGTCGCGCGTCGCGGGGCGCGATGCGCGAAGGTGCTTCCGATTCTGAATATGCGGATGCACACGTTAGCTCACATCCGCGTTCAGCCTCTGCAACTTCCTCAGGCCTCGAGGCATATCCTCGCAGTCGTCGTGTCCAGAAGCTGGAAGCTGTCTCTCGCCCCATGGCAGGAGCAGGTGACGTCATAACAAGAGGTCGGACTAAGCGAGAACTTGATCTTGTTTCCCGCTCAAGGAGGCGCCGCACGCATTCATTCTAGCCTCACGTGCTATATTGACGGATACTGCTTCTTTCTGGAACAAGTGTACTGCTCACTCGTCAAAGCCGTCAAGCGGGTTAGGGTTGAGAAGTGGGGACTGGCATACAGCGAGCCCGGAAATAGCTCCGCGAGCAGCCCAGCGAGCCATGCAGCTAGCTCTGAGCAGCCCAGTCTTCATCCGTGAGCCTGCCTTCTTCGACCTTTCGTGAGACCCCTCCCCCCCTCCATCTGCGGGTCCGAGCCCCCTGGTCCCCCGCGTGACCGCCCCGAGGTCATGTGCCTGGCCGACGAGCGGGCCCCCGTGCCCGGCGAGGCCCCTCCGCTCGCCCTCGCCCCCTCCCCCCCCGTCTCCCCTCCCCGCCTCCCCTCCCCGCCCCTCGCCCCTCCCCCTCCTCCCTCGCCCTCGACCTCCCCCTCTCTCTCCCTTCCCCTCCTCCCTCGCCGTCTCCCCCCTCCCCTCCCCTCCCCTCCCCTCCCCCCCTCCCCCTCTACAATTACTCGGTATGAGTACTTGTCCCTCTCCCTTGATCCTGTCCGAACGGGGCCCATGTTCCCCGCGTATGTTGCTTTCTAGCGCGCAAGATTTCAAACATTGTCATGCTATATCTACATCTGGGTGTATATGCACAGACCCAGGACGGCTTCGGCCTTTCAATGATGCTCCCGCTGCAGCGTTGATCCCACGTCTGGATCGGCGCTTTACTCTCGTCGTTCAGATTGGCTCTCGAGCAGAAGGGGGACGGGGGTGGAGGAGGGGGAGGGAGCGACGCAGGGAGGAGGGAAGGGTGAGGAGGGGGCAAATGGGGGGAGGAAGAGGGAGTGAGGGAGCAGGAGACGCCAGGATGGAGGAGTGGGGGCGGGGTAGGAGGGAGGAGGGTGGAGTAGGGAGGGAGCGGGGAAGCGGGGGAGCACGGAGGAGGAGGGGGAGGAGGGGGAGGGGCGAGGAGGTCCCCCCCACCGCTCTCGGGGCCCCATCGGGGCCCTGTCTCCCCCTCTTCTCCGCTCTCCCCCTCCCGCCCGCCCCGTGTTCCGCTCTGCCCCCGTCCCTCCCTCGTCCCTGGCCTTATCGCCGCTGCCCTTGCCGCCGCCGCTGTCGACGTCGGCATCGTCGTCGTCGTCGTCGTCTTCGCCGTCGCCGTCGCCGTTGCCGTCGCCGTCGCCGTCGCCGTCGCCGTCGCCGTCGCCGTTGCCGTCGCCGTCGCCGTCGCTGTCGCCGTCGTCGTCGCCGCCGCCGTCGCCGTCGTTGTTGTCGTCGTCGTCGCCGTGTCCGTGGTCCTCTTGCTTCATGACCTGGCGGTAGGAGGGCGGATGTGGAGCAGGAGCGGAGGAAGGAGCGGGCGGATGGGGGGAGGAGAAGGCAGATGGAGAGACAAGATCGTACAATCAGGAGGGGCCCGCCCTGACCGCACGTCGTTGTCTTTCTTCCATCGCGGCTCTGGGCCGAGGAGTGCCAGTCCCCATGGGTGATGATGGGGCCAATGCTGGCGTCGAGTCGAACACTGCAGGTTTAATCAGGAAATACCGCTGACTATGACAGCTGCGCCGAGGAGGATCTTTCTCAATCCTTCCCGCCTCCCTTCCTTCCTCTCTCTCTCTGTATCTCTGTTTCCCTCTCTCTCTATCTTTCTCTCTCTGTCTCCCTCTCTCTCTGGTCTCTAGTTAGCATCGATGATTGCTCTTCTTGATTTCGTAGTAGCGCCTTCGGCTGCCAGGCACCGCCGCAGGCGCAGCCACAAGCCGGGAAGGAAGGAAACATAGACGACCTTGTGGATTTCATAGACGGCAAGGCGCGAGTGCGGGAGTCAAGCATGTTGGCTGGCTGGAAGTGCAGGGGTGGCTCGGAACCTGTCGCCTGGGCAGGCGGGATACCATTTTTTACATAGATCTCGCTCCAACTTCATCGTCTTGGACCAACCAGTTTCAGTCAGCCTCGCGCTGCGCGGCTGAGGATTTCGCCCTGCATCACGTCGATGTTTTTCTGTGTGATGTCAGATCCCAGTCCGCAGCTCGGGCTCATGCGAGGGTTCGATAGTCGACGCATTGCAGCGAATCTGGGAGCCAGGGGGCCAGACTTCCTCGGTTTAGTCAGATTCGCATTGCGTCCACAGGCCTAGGGTGCCTTCCACGGGGGGCGCGATGCCTCTCTCGCGGAAGCCGCGGCCCGTTCCACAGAAGACCCCGGCCCCGTTCCGCAAGAGGACTGGGGCCTTCTTCCACATGGAGGGGCTCCAGGTTCCACGTGCTCCCAAGCGTCAGCTCCGCTCACGCCGTCCACAAAGCTCCAGGCGCACTACACCAAACCCACAAGGACACTTCGCGGGTGCCCAGAAGGGATTCCACCAGGGCCCGGGGGTCATTCCACTAAACCCTTAGGTGTGCTCTGCAAAGGCACCAGGGATATTCCACAGAGACCCCGTGGGAGGAGGAGGAGGAGGAGGTGGAGGAGGAGGAGGAGGAGGAGGGAGATCAGGAACAGGAGGAAGAGTGCGAGGATCATGTGGAGGAGGAGGGGGAGGCGAAGGAGGAGATAAGATGAAACACAACTGTGGGCCCGCAACTTGTGTTGGAGGATGAGCAGGAGTAGGAGCAGGAGCAGCAGAATGCAAAGCATGGTGGAGGAGGAGGAGGAGGAGGACACGATCCAAGAGGAGAAAGATGAGGAGGAAGAGATGGAGAATGATGGTGGGGAGGTGGAGGAGGATAAGTAGGAGGAGATGGATGGGAAAGAGAGAGAGAGACGAGGCGTATGATGATGATCATGATGATGATGACAATGATAAGACTGATGATGATGCTGCTGCTGCTGCTGATGATGATGATGATGATGATGATGGTAATGATGATGAAGACTATGACGATGATGATGATGATGATGATGATGATGATGATGAACATGATGATGATGATGATGATGATGATGATGATGATGATGATGATGGTGCTGCTGCTGATGATGATGCTGCTGCTGATGATGCTATGATGATAATGATGCTGATGCTGATGCTGATGCTGATAATGATGAGGATCTTGATGATGCTGCTGCTGATGATGATGACGATGCTTATGATGGTGATGATGCTGATGCTGCTGCTGATGATGATGATTAATGCTGATTATGAGGATGCTGATGCTGCTGATGATGCTGATGATGATGATGATGCTGATGATGGTGATGATGCTGCTGCTGCTGCTGATGATGATGATGATGATGATGATGATGATTCTGATTATGATGGGGATGATGACGAGGAGGATGATGACGATGACGATCATCGTAAGGAGGAGGAGGAGGAGGAGGAGGAGGAGGAGGAGGAGGAGGAGCAGTAGCCTCAGCGGCAGTAACAGCTTAGCTCGGGTCAGCGCGGGTCTGCTAGACCTGCGCTGATCTGTGTTGACTCGCGCTGACCCTCGCTGACCTACACTGACATGTTTCTCCTGAGGCGCGCTCACGGGCTGACCAGTGCTGGCCTGCGCTGGATGACCATACTTGCTCTGACCTGCCCCCGTGACGTTTCTTGGTTGAGTGCGAGCGCGCTGCAGCTTCAGCAATTAGGATGATAAGGGTCGGATTAACCCCAGCAACTTCCCGTTTCAAGGTGGCGGGTCGCGTCATTTCCATGTGTGCCTATCTTGTACTTTCCAAGGTTCCGTTTTCAAAACACATTGCACGGATCTAACATGACTTAAAACGAGGATTCAGGAGAGGCTGTATAGCGCACGCTATATCCGACGCTGTCTTGGCTCAAGGCAGCGCTGTCCAAATTGCTAGTTGCACGACCCTGTGCGACTCTATTGGGATCACAGCATCAGACGAAGGCCACGTGTATCTATGATCCGTCCCTTTATCCCATGATTTCTCTCTTACCTCTCGTTTTGTTTGCCATCGACGGATGAGTTGTGGGATACTTCGATATGTCACCAACGTTATACTAAGAGTAGGGTTCACAGCTTATTGCCTTATGGTCAAGCCCCGTACCCTTCTTTTTCACTTGGTAGCGGGGCTGGCTACATTTTGTGTGGCTGTCTTTTATTTCAGGTGTTATTCACATACCAACGTACCACTGCACAGTGGAGTGCCCGACTGCGCCGGCTCTCAGCCACTACGCTCCCCACTCTCTTGAACCAACTGGTAGCCCACATTCCTGCACCCTCATCTCCCTCCGCGTGGCCAAGCGCCACGGACAACCCAAGGACCGATACGCATCCGCAAGCTGACGGCCACTTCGCACTTGACACCCAGTCGCAACCCTACTGACGATACAATTTCCAATGATACGCAACCTGACTTCAGCAGCTACAACAAGACCATGCACTATGCTAAGGTCGCTATCTTTGGAGCCATCTGGGTGTGCCTGGGTCTCGCTGTGGCATGCATGCGAGGAGGAGGACTGTATGAAACGCGTACTCGGGGTCCTCTCTGGGGCCCCGCAGGCAACGTACTCTTCCTTTACTTTGTTCGCGAAGTACACGCATGACTTAGCGTCGCGAGCGGAATCATGACTCCACCCCAACAAACCGCTGCTTTACAGCGCGGTCTAGGCTAGCACACTAGCCATGGGGGTGCCGCCCACCATCATCAAGTACGGTGCCACTCTACAGGCTAAGCGTACTGACGGATTCGCATGCACCATGTACCTACTAAGCGGCAAGTTCGAAAACCGTGAGGACGAGCGACAGCTCACCTCGGGGACAGCCCTCATCGACTTCAGGGTCGAGAAGTGAACGCGTCGATTCTGTGCTGTCCCGAGCAGACTCAGCAGGCTTCAATCGACCCAGCTTCCTGATCCTTACTTTAATCATATTTCGCGCTTTGGGAGTAGGCACCTCCCGAGCAGCGCAGCCGCTGCAACCGCTGAACCACCGAATGCCCCGTGCCCAACAACAGTGCGACCAACTCCTGGAGCGAATGCGCAGCCATGGACGCTTGGCTGAGCATTCCCGAGGGGATATCGGGGGCATCTTCAGCGGGCGGAGCGCTGGCACCTACTGTGTCGAAATAAGCGACGTACCGGCAGCCATGCCGAGTGGCATTTGGACAGATGGAGAGCGCACTGAGTCCACGACGCTTTCAGGCAAAGGCGCCAAGAGCAGCAATGCCAACAACGAACAGGCGTCTGGCTCAAATATGGGCTGGCCGTCAGCGGCCAGCTTTGCACCACCTGACGCGACCGCCCTCTGGGGCTCACCTAGCCAACGAAATGACGACGTCGCCGATTCCGGTGCAGATGCCGATGCGGTCTCCTCTTCCGGTACCGAAAATCTCGATTGGTCAGACCTTCCCGCCGGTGAGGATGCAGCTACGCAGTGCTCATGCCTAGGCCATCATCACGCCCGAGGAAGATGGAGGCGACGCATGAAGAAACCAGTCGGGAAGCTCCGGCGAACTGCGCGTCGCCTCTGCTGCCGCGCAGGAAAGGGCCGCGGCGAAGGTGGTGGGCGCGCCCGCAGATTGCGCCGCAACGGCGCGGCCGCGTTTCTGGCTCGATGGGCCGACTGCGAATGGGGGCGAAGGTAGAGGCGAGGGTCGCAGGCGCACGATGGGCAAGGGGAAGGGGCGCAGGCTCAACCCAATGGGTAACATTTGTAAAAGGATGACGTGGCATACCTGCGGTAGCGACAAACACTCACAAGCGCAATGCTCTGGGGGGGTGGGGGTGGGGGTGGATCCGTTCTTCGCGGCTCAGAGCAATCCGAAGCGGGCATTATTTGGTGCGTTGATTTCCCCGACTGCGACCGCCCCTTTATTCGCAGTCCAGTTTTGCTTGTTTTTTCTTAGATGGCCGACTTCGCCGACGCTGCTATGTCGGTGGAGCGATGCGCCGAGTGTTTGCGTGATGGGATCGAGGAGCTGTGGGCCGCGCCCATCGAGGACCGTGGATGGATCGGCGCGCGTGGCACAGGCGCGCGCAGGGTGACTCCGCCAGGCGAGATCTCATCTATGCTCGCAGGGGCTACCGTGTGCCTCCGTGTCCGGCTCGCAGTCAGCATCGCGGCAACGGCCCAATGGGCCGCCCATCTCACAGCCCGCGTCGTGGCGAGACGCCCTGGATCCCCGACCGTGGCGACGGCGGAGGCGGACGGGCGGCCGCGTCGATTGGGGATTCCATTCCGTCGACCGATGCTGAAGCCCGAGACAGAATGTGCTTGGGAAGGTTTGGAAGATGATGACATCCCCAAGGTCTACAATGCGGACTGCCACCGCCGACGTCGGGGGGCGATCCCGCTGAGGCTAGCGGCTAGCGAGGAGAGTGATCGAAGTATTTGCTGCCAGCGCGAGCTGAATGCGACGGGTCAGGTCGCGGGCAGTTCTACAGCCGAGGCTCCCGCGCCCCCTCCGGCGTCGACTCAGGCGGCGGACGAGAAGATTGAAAAGGGGGGGGCAAGAGGAGCGGCCCCTCGCGCCTGCCTCGCCTGCGGAGCCGCCGGGCGGACTCGCCCATGGCGAAGGCGACCCTGGCAACGAAGCTGGCGGGCGCGCCCAGGAGGCCCAGGAGACCGCTGCCCCTAATGAGATGCTGCGGCCAAGCCGAGAGGCGGAGCTGGAAGGGCCCCCCCCAAGTGCGGCCCTGCGAGGCGTCTAGGCAATGTCAAAAGGAGAGCTGCTCGTTTCGGGGGCAGCTCGACGCACCTGCCTGATCGACCAGTTGCCGCGAGGGCCGCAGCGCCCCGCGAGGGCCCGGCCTTTCGCGGCGACTGGGCGCCATCGCTACCTGCTGCGCGCGCAGGGGGGTCGAGCTCGGCAACGGGCAGGGGGGGGAACAGCGAACCTGGAAACCCTGATGAGAAG